ACTTTTTTTTTTATTTTTTGATGTCTACTCTTTTTTCAATGACGATTTTGTTCTATTTTCTTCATCTTTTTTTTCTTTCTTTATTGCTTCATCTTTATCTTTTTTTACTTTTAGAGAAAAGAAGTAGAAAAAATCCATAAAAAAAGCTCATTAAAGCTATAAGAATCTAAAAAAAATTGTGAAGGACCTTGCAGAATTTACTCTAGAAAAGAAAAATTATTCTAGAAAAAAAACTGAGAGCTAAAAACCATAGCAAAAACAGCTGACCGTATATTTGCGGAGAACACCAAGCTACGATTGGGAATCTTACAGAAAATCTACGCTAAAAAATTGGTAAAAGATGAAGAGATGCAACCGTCACCCATCTGTAAAATGCCGGTCGAGAAGGGATAAGCGTGATCTGACATCACCAAAAAGGCCACCAGAGAAGAAGGTAAAACATCGGAATAAGTCCCCAGAAATTTCCGAGACGAAAAAAAGGGCCACTAAACCTGTTACCTCAGAGTAGACGGAGGTTAAGAAGAGAGCCAGATCTAGAAAAAACCAGGATGCAAAGAAGAAAGGAAGTAGGTAACAAGGAGAAAAAACAAACAAAGACCAGTTTTAGGAATCCTCGACCAGAAGCTATTAAGATCAAGGCACTACGTAAGACATGATACGGAGACATCTTGAAAAAGTTTAAAGTAGCCCCAAATATGAAGGAAGTCATGGAAAAAGGTACACGAATATGGAGAACTAGGACTAAGGAATTGCTCCTCGAGCTTTATAGACCGGGCACTAGACCCATAAATGTGAAATAAACAGTCCTATCCACCCATAAGTAGTCAGACAAAGTCCATGTGCTGATGGACAGGGAAATGGCGACAATTAAGAATATGAACAATACCATTACACCAAAGCAAGCGGCAGAGACTATGGCTACAATTGTTAGGCCAGGAATGGTTACAGCTGGTAGCATGAAAATTAGAGAGCTTTGCAATGACACTCAGGTGGAAAACATAAAGCTTCCAATACCAGCTGCCAAAAAGCTGCTGGAAAATGAAAAACTGCCAAAAGAATGAGTGAAATGTAGAGTTCAACAATATAAGGCGATAATGTGGTGCTATCGATGTCTAGAAACTGGTCACATCACCAAGTATTGTAACGAAAAAGTTGATCGCTCGAGGCAGTATTTTCGGTGCAGGTAGGAGAAGCACAAAGCCGCTGATTGTAGAACACAGAAACATATTGAACAACAGGTGAAGGAAACACATAAAAAGTGATTAAGTATATAAACAATATATGTCCTGGGACACATAGGAGCCGGCAATATATAAGGGATATATGTATGTCCTTGGACACAAAGGATGCCGCCAATGTATAAGGGATATATGTATGTTCTGGGACACAAAAAGGCCGCCCGATGATGGTGTTGCGATATCGCGATACCTTTCTGTGTTATCGCGATAAGGTGAGACCCCATGCTGAGCGTCTAAAAGGTAATCGATGTACTTTTTACATTGAAGATGCGTCGCCAATTCATAAGGGATATATGTATGTCCTGGGACACAAAAAGGCCGTTAGATGAAGATGTTGCGTTTTCGCGATAATTTGACACCTGTTTGTTCGCCAGTGGCCTCTTCGATAGAGTGCCCCCTTCCCTATAAAGGTTGTTAAGGTAGGACGCTGTAGAAGTAGGTAGGGTGTTTGGTAAGCTATATGATGGTCTCTCTCTCTCTCCCTCTCTCTCTCTCTCTCTCTTTCTCTCTCTCTCTCTCTCTCTCTCTTTCTCTCCATCTATCTAAGCAAGCGCGATTGCGCTATAGTAGTCTCGTTTGATTTCGGAAACCTTTCGACCCCATAGTTAATTTTATTCGAATATTAATTAGTAAAACTTATAGAATTTTCGTTTAGTTATTAATTTATTGTTCAATTATACATTGAATATAGAACAGTCTGTCTATAATCCTTATTTTCAGTAGTCGACATAGCTATTTCGAAATATTTAGATCAATTTTTATATGTATTACTATCAACTTCAACGATATCTCCGAGTTCAGATTGCTTCTGTCTACCTTTAATCCATGTAAACAATTTTTATACATTTGTAACGGCACATACAAAGTTAGCTTGATTATCGTAATGATATATGGCACATTCTAGACAATGACGATCAACTTTTCAGGGGTAGGTTTCGGATTTTCTTGAAACTTGGTCTACGTGTTATTTATATGGTAGTGTATGTAAGTATGGATTATTAGATCATTATAATAATTATATCAAAAGTTATAAACAATTGAACATTTTTGACGAACAAAGTGTCTATCACTTCGTCTTCTTCTCTATGCTTCTTACTTCGTAGCTGTATTTCTTTCTTAAATTTTAGCAATTTCGAGAGTTTTATAATGCCCTCATGGAAGTGTGTCCGGATTATTATCAAAAATACAGCATTTGTCATCATGAGGGCTTAGTGCTGTCTTTTCCTCTCTCTATGTTATTACTTAATGTAATTTAGATCGAATATTACATTAAGTATGTTTAATAATATCTATTTCGTTTAAACACTTTCGATAATCTGAGTAAGTGATTGTGTTCAGAGACGCAGCGTTTCTCCTTTACCTTATTGTATTGGTAATTTGTAAAGGAGAAAATGCCGTGTGGTCGACGAGCACTAATCTCTGAAATCTAATCGCGAGACAAACTCGGCAAAAAGGGTACAGCCGTGGCGCATATTATCAGTCGTGGTGCCCACACGTGTCGAGCAAATGCAGAATTCTGGCGCGGCTCAACTGACCCAAACACCCGAAAACTTTCCCTTAAATTTCTTGGCGACAAAGGAAGAGAGCTCGTCATCGTTCTCTGACAGGGCGTAACCAATTAGTCTGTCGATAGACAGCGAGAGAGTCGCTTCACAGTCCTGCATTGTTAAGTTTAGGTTCAGTTTCTTCTCTTGTCTTACCCTAGCTGCGTTCACTTTGATCAGTACAGTGCGTTAATACTTCGTTAAGTGCTAGAACGAGTGTGTGTAGTGCGAGCCCGTGAAGCTTTGGACTCAGCCCTACGCGGCTGTAGTGGGTCACGCCCTAGCGCGTTCCCGAGAGCGATACCTCCACGCGGCTACTGTGCTCAAATTCCACGTGACGGCGAGTGCTGTCAACGTCCTCAAGACGTCGAGGTCGTCTTAGGTGGTCACTATAGTGGTGCGCTCTTCCACTTTCGCTGCTGCATCGTAGTATCTGCATACATCATCCGAGAGCTCTCTGCGTTTCGTCAATGTGTGTGTGAGTGTGTTGCGCCATGTGTAAATGTATTAAGGTTTGCGATTAATTATAGTTTTTTCATATATATATATATTGTTTTATTGTTCGCCTTAGAGCTTTTTCCCTACTTACAACTAGGCTTTTTTACTCCCTTGACGAGCGTCGGCGTTGTTCATTTATCATACGTTAATTAAATTTCTAAATATAATAGAAATTAAAGTACCTTTGTCAATTTATTGCACTAACCTTACTTCCTGCTCTTTATTGATCTTTCGCGAACTCTCAGCGGATTTAACTAAGTAAAATTCAAAACATGGTGCCCCGAGTGAGGAAGCAATTTAGTGCAATTTATTTACAAAGGCAATACGGTTATCAATTTATCGAGCGTCACGTGCACTGCGTTGCATGATATAACAGTTAGTCCACCAAACATTATAATTAATAAAGCTTTGACCATGGCCCTTGTGTCTTAAGGTAGGCTCATAAATTTACAGTCTAATCGTCGCAATGAAATGGAGTCCATTCGTGATCGGATGCAATGACGCCAACGAGACGCACTCAATAAAAACATTGTACAAGCTCGCATCGACGAGATCAAAGACATTTGGGTTGACGCGCGTAATACTCATGCGGAAATTATAGGACGTGCTGATTCAGGCGCGGATCCGTATATCACGGAAAATCAATTCCAATTGCTTCGTGAGATTTATAACGATACGCTTCATGAATTATTGACGATGCTTCAAGATTTTTAAAGTGAGAGAGAGAGAATAACACCGACGACGCGCAGATATGGACGATGAGTTTGATTTCCCGACCAAACTACCCAGGTTAGAACTACCGAAGTTCTCGGGTTAGTACGAGGATTGGGATAGCTTCGCGGATTTCTTTCGGGCTGTAGTCCATGACGATCCGCGCATGGCCAAATCAGCTAAACTCAGACATTTAAAATCATGTGTGATTGGCAGTGCGGCTGATTTGATTAAAGATGTGCGACTTATAGGGTGTAATTACGATTCAACGTGGAAGGCCCTTGAAGATCGTTATTACAACACGCATCTTACAATTAACAGTTTACTTGATTCGCTCATGGCTACTTCTTTTATAAAGGAAGAATCAGCTAAAGAGCTGCGCGTGTTCATCGACTCTCAGCATGCACGGTTTGCGCGCTCGTAAACTTGAAGGCACCTGTTTCACATTGATCTGGGATATGTGGCTAGTGCATTTGCTCGAACTTCGACTTGATTCAGAATCACGGAAGGCTTGGGAGTATGAGGTAACGGCAAAGGAAACACGAGTGGTTATCAATTCGGGGGCCCGAGTCGCCGAAAACTCTGCGCACTTTTCGACTTTTTCTGAATTAGCCACGTTCCTAGAGAAACGCGTTCAGACCTTAATCGTGGTTCAATTAGATAAATCGGACAAAACATCAAAACCCTCGGGAAAATCAAACTCGCACAAGCTCCACCACGTTAAACCATCGTAGCCATCGCAATTTCTAGTAAATAAGTGTCCGCTTTATCCTGAGCAGCACTTGCTCATGAAATGCCCCACTTTTTTACAAAAATCGACTATCGATCGACGCACTGATGTGTGTAACCTTCATTTTTGTTTTAACTGTTTGAGAAAACACAAATTCAAAAATTGCAAGTCCAACGATCGTTGTCGAAATTGCCAGGGAAAGCATTATACGCTTATTCATTTTAACGCACGGAAAGGTTCCGATAGCGAAAATTCGGCGCCTTTGAGCGTGGTAAAGGCATGCGCGGTTACCGTCGCTCAAGATTCAGTTTCGTGAGGCCAGAGGACGTCCACCTCCAGAGAGTGCTGTGGAGCCAGGACGCAGACTCCCCCGCCCACCACTACGCGCTGCAAACCGTCACTTACGGCGAAACCTGCGCACCTTACCTGGCCCTCCGGACCATCAGACAGCTCTACGCCGACGAGGGCGCCCGCTTCCCACTCGCCCGAGAGGCCGCTGAGAACGACCTCTACATGGACGACTTCCTCAGCGGCGGCCACAGTTTGGAGACAACCCGACGCCTCAGGGACCAGCTAATCGCGCTCCTCACGGCGGGCGGCTTCCACCTACGGAAGTGGGTGGCCAGCGACCCCGCCTTGCTTGAGGACATCGCCGTGGACGATCGCCTTCGACCCAGCTGGGTCCATCTCTCGGCGGACGGACCAGTCACCGAGCTCGGAGTAGGCTGGAACCCGACCACCGACCGATTCCGGTTCAAGCCTCCCGCCTCGCCTCATCCTGGGCTTCAGCTGACTAAGCGCAAGGCCCTCGCCGAGCTCTCCACTATCTTCGATCCGGCGGGATGGCTGGCGCCAATCACCCTCGTGGCTAAGATGATCGTGCAGGATCTGTGGAGAGCAAAGCTGAGCTGGGACGAGATCTTCCCACAGGCGTGGCAGGACAAGTGGTCCGCATTCCGCTCCACGATCCTCGCGGCCACCGAGATCGACATCCCCCGATGGATCGGGCTCGCACCCGACAAGAACCTCCAGCTCCACGCGTTCGCCGACGCCAGCCGCCACGCCCTAGCCGCCACAGTCTACTCGCGGGTCACTGACAAGGACGGAAGCGTCACCACGGCCCTACTCAACGCTCGGACAAAGCTCTCCTCCATCAAGAGCCTCCAGCCAGCGTCAACCGGTCGCCTGCGCATGACAATCCCGCAACTGGAACTGCGCGCGGCTCTCATCGCCTCGCAGCTTCTCACCACCACCGCCTCCACTCTCAAGGTCCCGATCTCGGCCTGCCACCTTTGGAGCGACTCTCGCGTCGCACTGCATTGGCTGCAGTCCGACGAACCGGTGGGGAACGACCTCGTGGACAACTACATCGCCCACGTCCAGGAATTGATTGCCGGAGCAACCCTTCACCACGTGCCCATCACCGACAATCCCGCGGACATCGCCTCTAGGGGGGTCGGTTCGGACGCCCTCAAGGAACACCGCCTCTGGTGGACCGGGCCCAAGTGGCTGTCCAGCCCCGAATCCGCCTGGCCCCAGACCGCCCTCGCCGACGACCCACCGTGTACAGGCCCGGGCGACACCACCACGGCCTGCCTGGTCTCGCTCGCTCGTCGCCGAAGCCCTACCGCCACGGAGGACCAAGCCCGGAACCACCTCGAAAATTTCTCCACGCTAGGGAGTCTCCTCCGCGGCACCGTGAGGGCCCACCGGCTGCTGACCGGGTCAACGACCAACTCGCCCAGACCTTTGGGGCCCGTCCGAGCTGCTGACCTCCGCTGGGCCTTTCTCACCTGCGCCCGCCTCTCGCAACGTCAAACCTTCGCGGATGAGATCAAGCTCCTCCAAGGACCCGCGCCCCGGCTCCAGGCCTCACTCAGATCGCTGGAACCCTTCCTAGACGAAGACGGACTCCTGAGAGTGGGCGGACGCCTCTCCCAATCTCCACTGCTCTACGACGAGCGCCACCCCGTCCTCCTGGACGGACGCTCGCACCTGGCAGAGCTCGTCCTCCGATGGGCCCACGCTCGCAGCCTGCATGGAGGCTTTCGCTCTACCTACGCGAGAGTCCTGCAGAAGGCGTGGATCACCGGCGGCAAGTCGCGCGTCAAGCGCCACCTTCGCCAGTGCCTGATCTGCGCCCGGATCTCCGCAAGGACAGCCGCCCAAGGGATGGCCCCCCTCCCCGCGGTCAGGGTGACCCCCTCGCGGCCCTTCAGTCACTGCGGCGTGGACTATGCCGGCCCATTTCCACTCTGCCGAAGCCGCGGACGGGGACTCCCTACCATCAAGGGATACGTGGCACTTTTCGTGTGCATGAGCACGAAAGCGATCCACCTGGAGCTCGTCGGTGACCTGACGACGGCCAGCTTCCTCGGAGCCCTCACCCGATTCATCGGGAGGAGAGGACGCCCAAACGAGATCTGGAGCGACAATGGCACCAACTTCCGCGGTGCCAGCCTAGAGCTTCGACGACTGCTGCAGGAGGCCGAAATCGACTGGGGGCTGGTCGAAGGGACGCTAGCACAGGACGGCGTCTCGTGGAGATTCATCCCCCCCGCTGCCCCTCACTTCGGCGGACTCTGGGAGGCCGGCGTGAAGAGCATGAAAGTCCACCTTCACCGCGTTGCCGCCCCCAGAAGGCTCACCTACGAGGAGTTTACCACGCTCCTCGTCTCCATCGAGGCCACCCTGAACAGTCGACCGCTCGCGCCGCCCACCGGAGACCTCGACGATCTGGACGCCCTGACACCGAGCCACTTTCTCCTCGGAACCTCTGCCACCTCAATTCCGCAGCCGCTCCCCGCAACCACCAACCTGGAGAGCACACAGCACTGGGAGCTCGTCCGAGCCATGCGCGGGCTGTTCTGGGACCGCTCGGGCCGCGAGTACCTGAATACCCTGCGCCAGCGCCCCAAGTGGAGGACCATTCGCCCTAACCTCCAGGTCGACGACCTTGTGGTCATAACCGACCCTACTCTCCTGCGCCCAGATGGGCGATAGTCTCTTGGCCGTATAGTCGCCACCCACCCAGGACCGGATGGCCTCGTCCGCTCCGCCAAGATCCGGACCGCCGCCGGGGAGTATGTCCGGCCAGTCGTCAAGCTGGCGCCCCTGCCAGCCCTCGGTCTCATCGAGAAGCCACCCTAGGGCGCACGGCGACTACAACACCAGCGAGTCGTTCTCGGAACGAGGCGGGCGGGATGTTTGGTCGAGTTGCCCGGCCTCGCTCGGCTCGAGTCCAGGCTCCCCCTTTCCTCTATCACCCGACGAGAGGACAACGACGCAGGCCCTGAAGTGGGGGCAAGACTGTAGCCCCTTCCCCGAATGACGTCACCGCCGTTGCTAAGCTCTGTTTGCTTGGAGCTTTCGGCCAGCTTTGACCTGCGTTCTCCACCGCCAGAATCATCATTCAACGCGACTGTGTAACCTTGCCTGTTTTGTTACCACAAGTAGAGACCAATAAAACAACCAAGTTAAAAGATCTTGTATCGGCGTCACCTCATTCCCGACGGGATTACCGCCTCAGCCCCCGCGCCAGCGCCTCAACAGGGGTGGGTGTCTCCGGTTACGGTGATTGCTAAAATCTTAATGCAAGATCTATGGATCGTAAAGAGTGGTTGGGACGACCCACTATCGGTCGAATTACGCAAATGTTGGCAACATTATTGTCTCTCTCACCAGTCTGTCTGAAGTCTATATCAGTCGTTGGTTCGGATTATCCGCTGATCTCTCATATGAAATACACGGATTTTCCAATGCCTCTGCTCGCGCATATGCTGCCGTAGTTTACATTCACATAATCAATAAGGACGGACAAGCACGTATATCAATGCTCGGTTCAAAAATTAAGGTAGCTTCAGTTAAAACTGTCAGCATACTAAATCTTGAGTTGTGTGGCGCGACACTGTTAGTTCGACTCGTAAACCATTTTAGAAAACTAGAATTTCTCAAGGTAGCACCCGTGTCTTTGTACACGGATAGTCAAATAGTTCTTACGTGGCTCGCTAAATATCCCTGTAATTGGAAGACATTCGTGGCAAACCGCGTGGTACTTATTCAAACCGAGTTGCCCAGTGCTAAGTGGTCTCATGTTTCTATCAGGGAAAATCCGGCAGATCTGGCCACTCGTGGCGTGACACCTTGCGAATTAAAGTCGAGTGATTTATGGTGGCATGGGCCAGAGTAGCTCACACGCTCAGGCAGTCAACGACCCCAACCGCCGATAGCTGTGAAAGTATTGCACGTCCAAACGAAGACAAGGGAACCTGAATTTCTTTCCAAATACTCGGATTTGTCACGTTTAACTCGTGTTACGGCGTACTACTTGCGACCTCTTAAAAAATTACGTGGCAAAGGGATGGACTGCTACCACTGCCTTCTGCACTCACTGCCGCCGAACTTACATATGCCAGAATAGCACTTATTCGATGTGCTCAGTCTTGTTCCTTTGCTCGCGAAATTCAAATTCTGAAGCAAGGTCGACCACTGCCCAAGGGCAATGCGCTGTGCAATCTAAATCTTTTGTTTGTAAAATCAATGGTCTTCGGCGCGTTGGTGGACAACTGACAAATTTTCTGTTGTCATACGAGCGAAAGCAGCCTGCTATCTTACCGCGAAGCTCTGTACTTAGTCGTTTGTTTGTACGTTGGGCCCATCGCATTACGCTTTACGGTGGTCCTACTCTCACAGCAAATTTTCTAACGCAATATGTGTGAATTTTGCGAGCGCAACCGCTAATTAAATCTATCATACGCAACTGTGTTCAATGCCAGCGTCAAAAACCTCGTACAGCGTATCAACTCATGGGCGACCTTCCAACGGCTCGCGTAACACCTGCTCGACCATTTACGACGGCCGGCATCGATTACATCGGGCCAATTCAAGTGCGTACTTCTAAGGGCCGAGGGCAAAAATAATATAAAGGCTATATTGCACTGTTTATTTGCTTTGCTACGAAGGCTGTGCACCTGGAGGTCGTCAGTGATCTTACTTCCAGTGCTTTCATCACGGCCTTCCGTCGCTTCGTGAGTCGTCGAGGAATCTGCAGGAACTTATACAGTGACAATGCTACAACGTTTAGAGGAGCCGATGCCGATTTGAAGGTGATGTTTCACGCAGCCTCTGAATTCTACTGAACGATTGCTGCTACTCTTGCTAATGACGGGACTACGTGGATGATCATACCACCTAACACCCCTTATTACGGCGGCTTGTGGGAAGCTGGCGTCAAGTCAGCAAAACATATCATGAAACGACCCATCGGCCTGCATACCTTAACCTTCGAGGAACTCTCTACAATCATGACTGAAATTGAAGCCTGCTTAAACTCGCGACCATTGTGTCCGTTGAATGCCGATCCAACCGATCTGAACGTGTTAACTCCAGCGCATTTCCTCATAGGTGATACATTAGTTGTCATCCTTGACGAGGAACTTCCGAATGTTCCCGAGAATCGACTAAACCGCTATCAACTGATGCAGCGAATGAGAAATCAGTTTTGGAAGCAGTGGTCTACTGATTACCTGCAACATCTACAGGAGCGAGGAAAATGGCGAAATCCTAACGACAATTTCAAGGTAGGACAATTAGTGCTGATTAAGAATAACCGATACCCACCTTCCAAATGTCCAATAGGCCGTATAATCGAAGTACGGTCAAGACTGCAAACAATTTATTACGCCGGCATATCACCCGTTTGTCGCCCCTTTCTCTTGACCACCGGACAAGGGAACTTTGGGATCCAAGATGTAAACGTCGAAATCTTATGACGATTTATTCATGTATGTACGTCTTTAGCTTAAGTTGCAGTGTGTTATTCCATATGTATTATGTATTTGTCTAGTCGACGAAGGCGGGCGGTGTGTTCAGAGACGCGGCGATTCTCCTTTACCTCATTTTATTAGTAATTTGTAAAGGAGAAAGTGCCGTGTGGTCGACGAGCACTAATCTCTGAAATCTAATCGCGAGACAAACTCGGCAAAAAGGGTATAGGCGTGACGCATATTATTATTCGTGGTGCCCAATTGTGTCGAGCAAATGCAACATTCTGCGATAGCAGATAACAAGCCGATAACGTCTGGCGCGGCTCGACTGACCCAAACAACCAAAAACTTTCCCTTAATTTTCTTGGCGACAAAGGAAGAGAGCTCGTCATCATTCTCTGACAGGGCGCAGCCAGTTAGTCTGTCGATAGACAGCGAGAGAGTCGCTTCGCAGACCTGCATTGTTAAGTTTTCGTTCAGTATCTTCTCTTGTCTTACCCTAGCTGCGTTAACTTTGATCAGTGCAGTGCGTTAATACTTCGTAGAATGCTAGAACGAGTGTGTGTAGTGCGAGCCCGTGAAGCTTTGGACTCAGCCCTACGCGGCTTTAATTAAATTTCTAAATATAATAAAATTAAAGTACCCTTGTCAATTTACTGCACTAACCCTACTTTCTCTTCTTTATTGATCTTTCGCGAACTCAGCGGATTTAACTAAGTAAAATTCAAAACAGATTGTATTTTTTACCTTATGTTTTTTCACAGGCTCCTTATCAAAATACATCAAAGTCTTGCTTGGTTCTTTTTCATTTTATTCTAAGCCCATTTATCGATTATTAGCTTTTAAATATCTATTACAACATTGGCTAATACCTCCTCGAATACCTTTTTAAATGAATAAAATCATGTCTATATCAGTTAAGATCTCTAGCTCAATATTTGTACAGTTTAATATAGCATCCCATATTAATCCAGGAATAGTATAATAGTGTGCGGGGTTGAGTTGATAAGCATCCATACAAGTTTTACGAAAATTTTCAAAAATATCAGCCAAGAGTAATACGTCAGGTTTCATTATCAGAATACTGCTCAAAATCGATGATGTCAAAAGAATTCCACACTTTTTGTGCATGCTCATATTCAGCTTCAGAGATGTTGCTTTCTATCAATTAACTACGAAAATCTTCAATAGGTGGTATTTGAGTCTGTTTCCTTCTTTTTGTAAAGACTTATTGACCCCTCTCCTTGTATTTCATGTAAGAAAATCTGAAATTGTTTTATAATCCATTGTGCTGGTGGTTTTTCTTCATTCAATTTTTTCTATACATCATAAAGATTGACTTAGAATCATCGTAATTATATTTTATATAAAGTCCTACACTAAAGGCTTCATGATCTTGGAAGGATCGTCCTTTATTTACTGGTTTCAATAAGCATTCTAAATCAGCATATATAATAAATAGAACCATTTCTTTTTGATCGTAATGATTAAATTTGAGAAGAGGAAAATTAGGTAGATTAACTCTATATTTATTTAATTTTGAACAATCTATCTCATGAATATTCAATTTTTCTTTATCATTCAAATAGTGGAGACAGCGTTCACATAGATAAATTTGTGAAGTATGTTTCGTTACTTAACTTCTAACAAGAGCAGATAATTTTTTAATCCATACATAGTGGAATTTTAATTTGAAATTGTCATTGTTATTTGAACTATTAGATTTTTCTGTTTCATTCTCATCAATATAATCACTTTGTAGTAACAAAAGATTGACATGCTTAAAGTTGATATATAATAGGGTGAGACTTCGAATTTGAATCGATATTTTGTTAGTATGTAGAGAGAGCGGGGAGGAAGGGGGGCAGAGGGGGAGGGGGAGAGAAAGTGGGAGAGTGGGAGATGGGAGAGGAGAGGAGGGGGAGAAGGAGAGGGAGAGAGGGAGAGGGAGAGAGAGAGGGAGAGGGAGAGAGAGAGGGAGAGGGAGAGAGAGAGGGAGAGGGAGAGAGAGAGGGAGAGGGAGAGAGAGAGGGAGACCATCGTATAGCTTATCAAACACCCTACCAACTTCTACAGCGTCCTACCTTAACAACCTTTATAGGGGAGGGGGCACTCTGTCGATGGGACCACTGGCGGACAAACAGGTGTCAAATTATCACGAAAACGCAACACCTTCATCAGGCGGCCTCTTTGAGTCCCAGGACATACATATATACCTTAGACATTGGCGGCTCCTTT